CTCTATCAAATACATAACCATCCGTGTTTGGTTTTCTCCTCCATTCTCTAAGGACCTGATGGAGTTCCTAAACCCGAACAGCAGTGACTGCACGTTGGTCTTGTTCTACACACCGTGGTGCCGCTTTTCAGCCAGCCTGGCACCTCATTTTAATTCTTTACCTCGAGCGTTTCCAACTCTTCGCTTCCTGGCACTGGATGCATCTCAGCACAGCAGGTAACTTGCACTCCTTGTGCTCTAGAATCAGTTTATTTCCCTTAGCAAGCTTTGTGTTTTAACAACAGGGTGGCTTTTTTTTGTCCTTATAATGTGACAATATAATTTAGTAACTTTGTCGTTGGTATCTTTATTTCTTCATCCAGTGGATTTCTTTTCCTTAATGCTTTGTATTTACTTTATGTCCACCAGTTTATCAACGAGATTTGGAACTGTGGCTGTACCCAATATCCTCCTTTTCCAAGGTGCTAAGCCTATGGCTAGATTTAATCATACAGACAGGACACTGGAAACACTGAAAGACTTCATTTTTAATCAAACAGGTATGTGAATCAGCCCTGATGTGTCAGTAGGAGGAACGGGCTGGTTGTAGCTCCAAGCTGGGCTTTATCTCTCCCTGCTGTTTGTTCGTTGAAATTGATTTATGAAAACCCAGAGAGAACTGAGCAGAGGTTTATAGAATCCATTGCTGTAGTGAGCTGGGTTTCAGGCTGCACTGAAAGCAGGAACTCAATCCACTGGGCTGCTGTCACAGAACAGGGGGAAATAGAGGGTGCTAGAAGGATTGAGCACATCCTTTTGCCCAGCAGGTCAAGGGAGGGGATTCTTCCCCTCTGCACAGCTCTGGGGAGACCCTGCCAGAGAACCATAGGGCTGGCTTGTTCAGCCTGGAGAAGAGAAGGCTCCTTAAGGGGAGACCTTAGAGCAGCTCCAGTGCCTAAAGGGGCTCCAGGAAACCTGGAGAGGGGCTCTGGGCAAGGGCCTGTAAGGACAGGACAAGGGGAACGGCTTTAACCTGCCAGAGGGGAGATTGAGATAAGCTCTGAGGCAGAAGCTCTTCCATGTGAGGGTGCTGAGGCGCTGGCACAAGGTACCCAGAGAAGCTGTGGCTGCCCCATCCCCGGCAGTGTTCAAGGACCGGTTGGACACAGGGGCTTTGGAGCTTGGAGCAACCTGCTCTAGTGGAAGGTGTCTCTGCCCGTGGCAGGGGGTTGGAGCTGGAGGAGCTTTAAGGTCCCTTCTGACACAAACCATTCTATGATTATGTGAAATCTTGGGTGTACATTAACATACAAGGACCACCTTGCCAAAATGTTAAGTCTAACTGTACACACACCTTAGTCTGGGAAAAGGAACAAAGCTCCAACTAGAACCAACTTCACTGTGTTTAATGATTATTTCTGGTGTTTATCAAGTACTTCCTTTTTCAGGTATAGAAGCGAAAAGCGATGTTGCTGTGACCAAGGAGGACTGGGAAGGGCCCCTGCCCAGTGTTCTGACAAAGGGCATAGACTGGCTGCTCCTGTTCTCACTGCTCTTCCTGGCCAGCTTTGTCCTGTATGCCACCGTGCGCACGGAGAGCATTCGGTGGCTTATTCCGGGACAAGAACACGAACATCAGGAATAATCTGAGATGCTGAAATAGGGAGAGAATTTCCTGCTTGTTGGTAAAGCAGGAGTTTGTATGGACTGGAAGTACAGAAGGACAAACCGTTGAATTTAGTGGTTGTAATTTATGATGTTGACTAAAAATCTGCTTTATTTATCAAGCTGTAAAAAGCAAGTATGTGGCTATTAATGTGGTAAGTAAACAAACATGAAAACCCATGAACTAAACAAGTATTTCTTAAGCTGATCAGCTTATTTTTTCATGGACTGTAACATGAATAGGTGGTGCAGTTCTCCTTCACTCTCCTGAAGAGGTCCCCGAGCTCCATAGATGAAGATGTGTACAGCATCACCCTGGCCTGGCTGTGTGGCACTGCCTGGCGCAGGAGCAAAGGCACTTCTGCTCTGGTACAACCTGTGGATCTTTTCAGATCCTACAGGCACAGGAACTGAAGGTGCTATGTGGATGATGTGGTAAACACATAGAATTAGGATGTGTTGACCCACAGAGATCATACTTGGGTTTTTGGCTCCTGTATTCCTGGAATGTTTTAAAGGAAACCATTGGTGAGTGGTGATGTTGCTAAATTAGTTTGTCAGGAAAATGAACTATGAGGAAAAAGATGTTTTTAAATAAAACAGGTTTTTAGTGTAACCTTTTAAGTCATTTCTTACAGGACTAAAACCATGAACTTCTGAAGCACTGTTCACCTGCCCCAATTAGCAAATCCAGAGGTTTATTTATATACCTACCAGCACGTTTGCTGGTTGCACAGGCTGCAGCTGAGGCTATGCAAAGAGTTGATACGGTTTCTAGATAAAATTAGCGTGGAAGACTTTGAATGAGGTATGGACTGATACGTTGTGTGGGGGTTTGGATTATTTGATTGCATGGCGTTTTTACATGGTTGGAGGCTCAGTATAGTACCCTGATAGGACGCTTTAGAGTGCAGATTGTGCTGAAATGAAGCAAAGACAGACAAACCCAGTAAGATTCATTGTTTGCAGAGCAGTTATTTATCAGGTATTGTGGTGGATGTATCTTTCCCCTTTGGCAGCCCCAGGCTTTGTTGTTTCTGTGGATGAAGAGGAAACTGTGCTGAGGAAACGTTAGTATTGCTGCAGCTAAAGCCAGGCTCTATTTTACCAATAAAGGTTCAAGAGTTTGAATGACGAATGGGAGCGTTCTTGCCTCTGCCCGCTGGTCAGTTACAGAGCCCAGGGCTGGATCCTCCCCGGGAATGGAGATAATTCCTAACTAATACCTGGATAACGGGTGTTAGATGGAGGAGCACCGCTGTCTTTAGGAGCAGC